ACATCCAGGGACTTGTGGTTCCCACTATTCTTGTTAATCAACTGGTTGAAGCTGAGCACATGAAAGGTCTGTATCCACTAAGCTTAGAATTGCATTGCTTTTGATTTATTTTAATAGGATCCTCTTGATTTCCAATTTATTTTCCCCCCATAAGGACATCTTCCTCTTGACAACCTATTTAAAAGACACAAGAATGTTTTGAATGGAGGCTGTATTTCATGCTTTAAGGCAAAGCCTTGATCAATATAGTATAAATTGCCTGAAAGAATCTTCTCTTTTTTTGTTGTTATTTTTTCCTTCAGTTTTCTCTGGGTCGTAAAGGAATATGAGGGCTTAGTGAGGCTTTGATAGAGACAGGTCTAACTAAAATTTTAAGTCAGACCTAGGACTGCTCAGGTCTCCGCCATTTAGAATCAGTCAGTGATAAGCATACACTGAGCATTTACCGTGAGCCAAGTGCTTATGGAAACAGTGTAAGATATAGTCCCTGTGCTAAGGATGCTTAACATCCAGTTGAAATTTTCTGTACTTTTAGCGCTCAAAAGTGAATCTCCTTTTTGGCTGTATGTATTAGAGATAGATGATGTTTGAGATACAGTCTTTTATGCTATTGGATGCATCTCTTCCTTAAACAAAATTTTGATTTTGATTTGAAAGGTAGTATATATTTTCCAAACATCATTGAACAAAATTAATTTTTTGCTGCTTTGGATTTGTCTGGAAGTGAAATCAGTCTCCTCACTGCCATCCATACTTGCTACTGGGTGAGATTGTTTCACAACTAGAGCCTAGGATTTAAGAGAAAGAGAGGAATTTTGTCAACAATAGAAAGAATCTGGGAAGTGAGAGAATATGTGTAAATCCACATGGAGACCTGTGGGGTTTCAAGTTCTCATTTGAAAAAAATTGAGAATTCCTTGAATCAAGATGGGAAATTTTGAGCATGATTCATGGAACTGCTTTTATATAGAATTAAAAAAATACACTGAAGTTTGATCTGCAGTACAGTGTTACAAATATATGTATAATTAAATTTGAGGGACTTCCCTGGTGGTCCAGTGGTTAAGACTGTGAGCTCCCAATGCAAGGGGCCTGGGTTCCATCCCTGGTCAGGGAACTAGATCCTGCATGCATGCCACAACTCGCAGGTTCTAGAGTGCAGGCTCAGTAGTTGTGGTGCATGGGCTTAGTTGCTCTGCAGCATGTGGGATCTTCCTGGACCAGGGTTCGAACCCGTGTCCCCTGCATTGGCAGGTGGATTCTTAACCACTATGCCACCAGGGAAGCCCCAGATTCCACATATAATTGAGATCATACAATATTTGTCTTTCTCTGTCTGACTTATTTCAGTAGCATAATGCCCTTAAGATTCACCCGTGTTGTTGCAAATGGCAGGATTTCCTTCTTTTTTTATGGCTGAATAATATTCCATTGTATGTATATATCACATTTTCTTTATCCATTTGTCCATTGATGGGCACTTAGGTTATTTCCATGTTTTGATGATTGTGAATAATGCTGCAGTGAACATGAGGGTACATCTCTTCAAGATAGTGATTTTATTTTCTTCAGATATATATGCAGAAGTGGGATTGCTGGATCATATGGTAGTTTTATTTTTCTGTTTTTCATTTTTTAAAATTTATTTACTTATTTATTTTTAGCTGCATTGGGTCTTTGTTGCTGCGTGTGAGCTTTCTCTAGTTGCGGCGAGTGGGGGCTACTCTTCGTTGGGGCGCATGGGCTTCTCATTGTGGTGGCTTCTCTTGTTCCGGAGCATGGGCTCTAGGCGCACGGAGCTTCAGTGGTTGTGGCACGTGGGCTCAGTAGTTGTGGCTCGTGGGCTCTAGAGCACAGGCCCAGTAGTTGTGGTGCACGGGCTTAGTTGCTCCGTGGCATGTGGGATCTTCCCGGACCAGGGCTCAAATGCCTGTCCCCTGCATCGGCAGGCGGACTCTCAACCACTGCGCCACCAGGGAAGCCCCTAATTCTTTTTTATACTTTATCTACTGTATGTCTTATTTCTGAGAAACTATGTTAATGTCTAAGATGACATTTCTGTGGGATTGCTGTGGCTTTGCTTTGTTTACTTCTTCGCTAGAAGGATTTAAAAGCCTAGATCAACAGAGGTCATAGCGTACTCATAGAATGCTTCTTTCTCTTCCTTGTAGTCCCATAGCATTTTCTTTGTACTTTTACTCTATTTCTCATGATTTGCCTTGTGCTGTGCCTGTCTCCGCTAATAGATTGTGAGCTCCTAGAGGATCCGGTCTGTAGTTTCCTCTTTGTAACACCTTAGTGCCTAAACTAGTGCTTTATAATATTTAGGTGTTCCCTATGTGTTTGTGGTATTTCAGGGATGCTAAGAGAATCATTAGATGATATGTCTAATCCAGTCCCCTAGTTTTACTTGTAAGGAAACTGAGAAGCACAGTGATTTACTCAGTGTCATCTAGTTGGTTGGGAGAGCTGTGTTCTAGTCTCAGTTCTGCCGGTTGTTTGTTCCATTATGTCTTGCTGCTCCTCAGCTGGTACTTGTTCTCTCTACAGCAGGGGAGGATTGTGAAAGAGGAAAGAAACACTGGGAGGATATAAACAGATTACACTCACATTACTGATGTATTCCAATTTACTGCTTTACCAGTCAGATATTTTACTTTCAAATTTGGAAGCACAAGCTTAATTTCTGAGACCCCAGAAAGACTTTTGTAAGAGTTCTACACTTCTTGCAGTCTATTACCCTAGAAACACCCTTCTTTGCTGTGCTCAATGGGTAGAAGTGCTGGCAGAAGGAGGAGACTTTATGTTGTCAGTTTCCAGTCACACTTCAGACAGCTTGGGTGTTAAATTCCAGGTGCCTGTGATGATGACAGAGAGTAATGTGTTGAGGCCCTTGGTTGAATTTCCCCCTGTTCCAAATGGAAGGCGAGTGATGAAAACAGTTTAATTTCTTAGGAAATTTGGTACTTCGGGTTGAAATTGTTTTTTCCCTCCTCTCCTATTCCCTTTTGCTTATTAGAACGTATTGACTCTGAAATAGAGAAAGTGAGTTTATTAGATTTGGGCTGGACATTGATTAGCAGTAACCTAATTATAAATCCTCAGAGGGAGATGTTTGTAAACATGTGCTTTTGACATCCAGGGACTTGTGGTTCCCACTATTCTTGTTAATCAACTGGTTGAAGCTGAGCACATGAAAGGTCTGTATCCACTAAGCTTAGAATTGCATTGCTTTTGATTTATTTTAATAGGATCCTCTTGATTTCCAATTTATTTTCCCCCCATAAGGACATCTTCCTCTTGACAACCTATTTAAAAGACACAAGAATGTTTTGAATGGAGGCTGTATTTCATGCTTTAAGGCAAAGCCTTGATCAATATAGTATAAATTGCCTGAAAGAATCTTCTCTTTTTTTGTTGTTATTTTTTCCTTCAGTTTTCTCTGGGTCGTAAAGGAATATGAGGGCTTAGTGAGGCTTTGATAGAGACAGGTCTAACTAAAATTTTAAGTCAGACCTAGGACTGCTCAGGTCTCCGCCATTTAGAATCAGTCAGTGATAAGCATACACTGAGCATTTACCGTGAGCCAAGTGCTTATGGAAACAGTGTAAGATATAGTCCCTGTGCTAAGGATGCTTAACATCCAGTTGAAATTTTCTGTACTTTTAGCGCTCAAAAGTGAATCTCCTTTTTGGCTGTATGTATTAGAGATAGATGATGTTTGAGATACAGTCTTTTATGCTATTGGATGCATCTCTTCCTTAAACAAAATTTTGATTTTGATTTGAAAGGTAGTATATATTTTCCAAACATCATTGAACAAAATTAATTTTTTGCTGCTTTGGATTTGTCTGGAAGTGAAATCAGTCTCCTCACTGCCATCCATACTTGCTACTGGGTGAGATTGTTTCACAACTAGAGCCTAGGATTTAAGAGAAAGAGAGGAATTTTGTCAACAATAGAAAGAATCTGGGAAGTGAGAGAATATGTGTAAATCCACATGGAGACCTGTGGGGTTTCAAGTTCTCATTTGAAAAAAATTGAGAATTCCTTGAATCAAGATGGGAAATTTTGAGCATGATTCATGGAACTGCTTTTATATAGAATTAAAAAAATACACTGAAGTTTGATCTGCAGTACAGTGTTACAAATATATGTATAATTAAATTTGAGGGACTTCCCTGGTGGTCCAGTGGTTAAGACTGTGAGCTCCCAATGCAAGGGGCCTGGGTTCCATCCCTGGTCAGGGAACTAGATCCTGCATGCATGCCACAACTAAAAGAGCCCGCATGCTGCAATGAAGAAACGTGTGCTGCAACTAACACCCAGTGGAGCCAAATAAATAAATATTAAAAATAGAAACTTGAAAGGAATATATTGTTATTTTTGGTTATTTTGAAATTAAATTTAACTTTTGGTCTTTTAACTGCTGTTTTCTGCCTTGGGTCTCTTTCCAGAGGAATTTCTGATGATGGTCAAGTGCAGTGTGATTTATGAGGCAGTGAAGGGCAAGTACTTTGCAGTGAGGAGGACCTGCTTACTTTGGGAAAACCATTGGAGCACGTCAGTCTGCAGCACACTTCCTGTCTTAATGGTCCTAAGCTCGATCAATACTTGAAATTTAACTTCATCATCAGTCTGTGGGCAGCGTGTGCTTTGCAGCCTTCCTTCCATCAACGTCAGATATATGGCCAGACTTATTACAGATGGAGCTAGTTACACTTTCCTGCTTGGTTTTGCATCTTCTTTAAGTCTTGTCCACTGGCATGTTTTAAGGATGTAAAATGTGTTGTGCTGTAAGCCAAGTAATGATTTAAACCTTGAAATTACCTGGTTAGAGAAGGGGGCGTTGGACAGATGCACAAAATCTATAGCATGGTTGTTTATCATTTCTTCTTCCTAAAAAATTTCCCATTGAGAGGTATTTCAATAGATTCTCCAACATCTTAGAGAGCATTTCTAGCACTAACTGTGGCTTTCTTTTCGCAGATTCTCTAACCATGGCACAGGTAGAGAAACGAGGGGGTTTGCTCAGGAAATCTTCAGCCTACAAAAAACCACTGAAGGAAAAAGTGGTGCTGATGTATGATGAGATCTTCATGGTAAGGCCTGGAGCTCTGACATTGGGCACAGGTTGACTCCTTAGTTTCTTGTTCCAAAATGAGAAATAACCTCACCTCTGCCTGCTACCTTCTAGTTCTTCAGAGGGAGAAAGAGAGAGAACAAGGGTGAGGGTGAGCTCTCTCATGGTAGAAATTATGATCATGTGTTAATTAATATAGATTGTTATTATGTTGTTCTTATAGATTGTTGCCTTGAGCTAGGTAAAACAATTGAAAGGAGGGAGGAAGGCTCAGGAAACTTCTTTTCTGATATCTATAAGACTTTTCTTCCTTATGATTTTTTTTTTTTTTTTGGCTGTGCCTCGTGGCATGTGGGATCTTAGTTCCCTGGCCAAGGATTGAACCTGTGCCCCCTGCAGTTGAAACGTGGAGTCTTAACCACCAGACTGTCAGGGAAGTCCCCTTATGATTTGTCATAAGGACCTTTCTATCCTAGATGTCCCTTGAATTTCCTTTTGGCCCTAGAATTCTATCTAATTGAGATATTTTAAAAAGATGCACTATTATATTCCATCTCAAGTTGTTAGTGGACAGAACAATTGCTTAGTTAGACTATCTCATCTTCCAATTCTATGAGAAGACTGAGGAATTATTAGCAATTAGATTAAGGGATTTCTTTGGGTCTTCAGAACTGCTTATTGACCATGGTCCAAGCCTGTGTTGTAAAATGTACCCTATCAGGGAAGGTTAGAGTGATTAGATACCCTGCAGATGTACTTGACTTCTGAAATCCTGGTCATTAGTAGTACATGTAAACATTTAAATCATGTAATACTTGTAAAAGGAGTTAACCATATCTTGTGTAAATCTTGTGGACTCTCTTTCCTAGAAGGAGGATAATGATAATATTTACCCTACCTGGCTTACTGGGCCATTGTATTTCATGTATGTGAATTGGCTTTGAAAACTGAGCAACATACGAATACAATGGGGATGCATTATAATATGACTAATTGATTCAGATGGCTAGGTTCACTTCTCGCTAAGAAGAGAAAAATTTGAGGGAGATTCTTGAGTTCCTGCTATGTGCCTGACATTGTTCTAAATGCATCATCAAATACATTAGCTCCAATTCTGACAAGAATGCTGCAAGAAGGCTATGTTTTTACATGTGCCATGTAAAAGACCATGATAATGAGAAAACTGGCAGTCACAGCTAGAAAGTGAAGGAGCTGTGATTTGAACCCTAGTGTCTGACTCCAGAGTCCTTACTTGTTCAACTTTGCCACATGGCCTTGGATAAATAATTTGGTCAAGTATAAAACATCTAATTCTTGGCAAGCCATAGAGACAAAGTTTGACATGCAGACAGTTAATACAGAATTGCCCAGGGCAGTATAGGTGGCTATACAGAGAAAATGAGTGGTTATTAGGATCCTATTAGGGCTCTTTCTATGTTAAGTAATAAGCTTGGTATACATAGGACTCCTGCTTGAGAGAGCTTTGAGCATAGGAAATGCCAGCTCCATGAATTCCCTGTTTCATATATAAACAACAAATGATATTACAGAAGTGTGAGGGTCAATGTGTGGCCCCTCTTGGGGAGCAGGACTTGAGAGAAAGGGATAGAAAGAATTCACTAAATGAGAACCTTATTAGAAGGCCAGAAATGTTGCTTCTTTATGTCATTCTCAATTAAAAAGCCAGAGGAGATTCCTAAGATAATATTTTCTTATTTGATCAGAAGTTCCTATCTAATGAAGACATTAGTTCTTGGTAGTAATTTTAAAAGGTCAATTTAAGGTAAGGTGATAGCAGGTAATTGACATACTGGTTTTATGTCATTAGCTTTCCGGTGAAGTAAGGGTTCTCTTTTTCTTATTTCACTCACTAACCAGAAGCCTCTTAACTTCCTAGAATTTCTGTTTGAAGATTATTGCTAAGAAAATTTGGATTTTAGCACCATAATTTTGCTAATTATGGACCAATTTGAAGTAAGAAAAGAGAATATTACAGGCTCTGTACAGAGGACTAAATGCATACGGGAGGGCAAGTAGAAGCAGGATGTTGTAAAAATCATGGCAGTATTACTTAGATGATCTGGGTTCTGGCTCCTGCACTTGTGTAAGTCTTGTGGACTCCCTTTCCTAAAAGGAGGATAATGATAATATCTACCCTACCTGGCTCACTGGGCCATTGTATTTCATGTATGTGAATGGGCTTTGAAAACTGAGTACCATACAAATACAATGGGGATATATCATAATATGACTAACTGATTCAGATGGCTAGGTTCTTTTCTTGCTAAGAAGAGAAAGATTTGAGGGAGGTTCTTTGAGCCATTTAACTTTTGGTGCAGGGACTATATATCCATGCACAATGTCTTCCATTTGGGAAAAGAACCCAAAAAACTTGTTCCCCATTATAGCTGTTTGGAATGACCAAGCATTTTCAAAATTAATTGTGAAAGTTAAGGTTGATTATGTGTAGTGACCCTTTCAAATGTGTCTTAATGCTTTGGTGTTAGCTGGGGATATTGAATATACTTATCTTCTGGTTTCAGACAGAGGACCCTAGTAAGTGCAGTCCTCGATTTTGGGAGGAGCTCTTCCTTATGAAGGTAAGACTTGGTGGCACCTGTGGATTTTCCTGGTAACTGAGATTGCCTTCACATGTGTTCTAGGTGCTGCAGTAAAAATGCACTCAGGCCCTTATTGTTTCCTCGTTAGGTGAATTTAGAGTACCTAGAAGGCAAGCTGGAATCTCTTGATGGTGAAGAGTTAATGAAGATCAAGGAAAATATTAATTGCTTATTTCAACACTGCATCCAGGCTCTGGGAGAGGAGCATCCAATTCGAGTGGTCAATGCATTGCAGGTACAAGGCTGGGAGACTGGGGAAGTCTTGTTTAATAGGAGAAAGAAATTGTAATATATCTATTGGAACTTGAGGAACCTAAAATTGCCCTTAGGTTTGAGGCTTACTTTCTTTGTTTTTTCTTTATTTCTTTAAGTAATCAAACATCTATGCCATGTTTGTTTAGCCATCTTCCTGGTTAAACAAATTGACGCCTCTAGTAGTAATCTTGTCCATTTGTATAATTTGATCTAATGCCAAGGCGGATTGTTTGACAGAATTTTTGTTATTACTTGAGGACAGGAAGAGAGAGAGAGGAAACTCTGGCAAGGTTGATTAGTCTACAGCAAAAATCAGAAGACTTTCTTAATGAAATAAACAGTATTTTCTTAACGTGAGGTTTCAGAAGGTCCTTGACTCCCTGAAGTTATATGTAATATTTTACGTGGTACGTTATGTGTACATGCACATTTTTTTTGAAGAGAGGGCTTTTGTCAGATTCTCAAAAAGGTCTGTAACTCTAAAAACATTAAGAATCATTATTCTTTTTTTTTTTTTTTTTTGTGGTACGCGGGCCTCTCACTGTTGTGGCCTCTCCCATTGTGGAGCACAGGCTCCGGACGCGCAGCCTCCGCAGCCATGGCTCACGGGCCTAGCCGTTCCGCGGCATGTGGGATCTTCCCAGACCGGGGCATGAACCCGTGTCCCCTGCATCGGCAGGTGGACTCTCAACCACTGCCCCACCAGGGAAGCCCTAAGAATCACTATTCTTAATGCTAAGTGGCATGATCATGAGGAAGATTCATTATTCTTGAACTACATTCATTATTTCTTGAATTACTGTTACATGCTAAGCATTGAGCTGGTGGGATACATTATAGGCTTCTTGAGGGCAAAGACAGTATTATTCAATACTTTGTTCCTAGTGTGTAGAACAGTGCCTGGCAAATAGCATTCTAGAAGTAAATTTTTTTGAATGAATGATGGGCAAAATTTCTAGAGTTTATCGTCTAGTAGCTCCAGTGTAGCCTAGATTGGGCTGAGTATTTAGGGTAGTGATTGACAAGCTTAGAATATGAAGAACTGATGACAGCATAAAGGATTTTGTGGGAACTTTTGGTAGATTGGGTTTAAGTTTCTAACTTACAAGTTGGGCAGATCACTTTGTGAGCCCCCGTTTTCTCATCTGTAAAATGTAGAAATTACCTCTTGAGTTGATGTCCCAGAGAGAAGGACCATGTTTATCCTGTAGCTTTGTTAACCCTTGGACAGTAAATTCTACATTTCGAGCATCACAGTTGTAGTGACTCATTAATTGAAAGTTGAAATGAAAGTTGGAAATTGTACTTTCTGTAATTACAGTGGCTTACTGTGGGGGCATGAATTATAAACTGATTTTACTCCAATGAAAATAAATTGACATTAAGCCACTTGGTGACCCATAAAAATATAGTACATTTATTATAATACCTGATATTTATTGAGCTGTAACAAAGTTAAGTTCCAGGCACTATTCCAGGAATTTTAACAAAGTTCCAGGGAGTATTCTAAGTGCCTTACAGTATTAATTCACATAGCCATCACAACATCCCTATGAGGTTAATGCTATTATCATTCCCATTTTATAGCTGAGAAAAATGAGGCACTGAAAAGTTAACTAATTTGTCCAGGCTCACACAGCTAGTAAGTAGTGGATGGGGATTGTAATGAATTTTTAAGATTTGAATTGATTGGTTGTTATCATATAGGGACTTTTATAGTTATTAAAAATGATAAACTATTATGTAAATTCTAAAACTAATTTTAAATAAAGGAAAGCTCCACCAATCCCATGATTCAAACTCAGGAACTGTTTCTTATTTTTGAATATCACCTTCCAGTCTTTGCAGTGTAATTTTTAAAAAGTGGATGGCCAGAAAATAAAAAAAGAGGATGACAACAGTTTCAGTTGCTGTTCCTCTTTTCATTTCTGGATTTTGCACATATTAAGACCCAGACTGTGTTTTGGAGCTCGGAGAATAGAGCAGTTGAATGTCAGCTGTGTAAGGAGAAGGTTCTGAGGTTGCAGTGTGAAGCTACTGATCCAATGCCCTTTGCATTTTGAGACTTCCTTTCTAGAAAGAATTCTTTCTCTCATCTCTGCAGACCTTGTGTGCACTCATTCGAGGAGTCCATCAAAAAAATAAGTCTACCTCTGGGTTTGACATTATCAACATGCTGATGGGCTTTGACAAGGCGGAGCTGTGCATGAAGGTGAGACATAAGTTGTAGATGTGCCTGTGGATGTCTGCTTCAGACAGCTGTTCATGGATCATCTGCAGACAGATGCACTAGAAGATTTGGACTCAGACATAGATGATTGAATTTTTATTCTTTTTAATTTATTTTTGGCTGCACTGGGTTTTTGTTGCTGTGCGCTGGCTTTCTCTAGTTGCAGCAAGCGGGGGCTACTCTTCATTGCTGTGCGCGAACTTCTCATTGTGGTAGCTTCTCTTGTTGTGGAGCTTGGGCTCTAGGCATGCAGGCTTCAGTAGTTGCAGCACACGGGCTCAGTAGTTGCAGCTCATGGGCTCAGTAGTTGCAGCGTGTGGGCTGTAGGGTGCACAGGCTTCAGTAGTTGTGGCTTGCGGGCTCCAGAGCACTGGCTCAGTAGTTGTGGCTCCTGGGCTCTAGAGCACAGGCTCAGTAGTTGTGGCACATGGGCTTAGTTGCTCCGTGGCATGTGGGATCTTCCTGGAGTAGGGCTTGAACCCGTCTCCCCTGCATTGGCAGGCGGATTCTGAACCACTGCACTACCAGGGAAGTCCCTCATATGGTAATTCTATGTTTAACATTTTGAGGAAATTCCAAACTGTTTTCCAAAGTGGCAGTACCATTTTACATTTTCCCCAGCAATGTGTGTATGTGTATGTGTGTGTGTGTGTGTGTGTGTGTGTGTGTGTGTGTGTGTGTGTGTGTATGAAATGTCTATTCAAATCCTTTGCCCGTTTGTAGATTGAATTATTTGTCTTTTTATTGTTGAGTTGTAAGAGTTCTTTATATATTTTGGATACAAGTCCCTTATCAAATATCTGATCTGCAGTATTTGTCACTATCTGGAACGAATGTTGTTCATAATATGAACTTTGAAGAACCTGTCTTCTCTCATTCACTACATTTAAAATAATCTGTATGCCAAAGAATCCTTATAGTGATTAGTTTATTTTTTAAAGTTACAAATATGTGGGACTTCCCTGGCTCAGTGGTTAAGAATCTGCCTCCCAATGCAGGGGACACGGGTTTGGTCTCTGGTCCAGGAATATCCCACATGCCGTGGAGCAACTAAGCCTGTGCACCACAACTACTGAGCCTGCGCTCTAGAGCCCGTGAGCCACAACTACTGAAGCCTGCATGCCTAGATCTTGTGCTCCACAACAAGAGAAGCCACTGCAATGAGAAGCCCGTGCACTGCAATGAAGAGCAGCTCCCACTCACTGCAACTAGAGAAAGCCCATGTGCAGCAACGAAGACCCAACGCAGCCACAAATAAATAAATAAAATAAATAAATTTATTAAAATAAAAACGTTACAAATATGCAATTAGGAATACACAAAGATTTAGTACCTGGAGTCAGTTGTTTTTTTTTTTTTAAAGAAGATGTTGGGGGTAGGAGTTTATTAATTTTATTTATTTATTTTTGCTGTGTTGGGTCTTAGTTTCTGTGCGAGGGCTTTCTCTAGTTGTGGCAAGCGGGGGCCACTCTTCATCGCGGTGCGCGGGCCTCTCACTATCGCGGCCTCTCTTGTTGCAGAGCAGAGGCTCCAGACGCGCAGGCTCAGTAGTTGTGGCTCACGGGCCTAGTTGCTCCGCGGCATGTGGGATCCTCCCAGACCAGGGCTCGAACCCGTGTCCCCTGCATTAGCAGGCAGATTCTCAACCACTGTGCCACCAGGG